GCGCTGCATCCTGCTGCATCCTGAGCAGGATGCAGCGCACTCTTCATGCAACTCGCCGATTACCTCACGGGGGGTGGGGGCGGGGTACTCATGTTTTGCATGCCTTACAGTTCATGGACCCCTCTTGGGGTTCATGAAAAAGGAAGCAAAACGTGTTGAAGTCAAGTTGTGTAGGGCCATCAAGGATGATGTAGCTGTGCGGGGGGTGGGAGCCTTACTCTCGCCGACGCGCTGTACCACCAAACGAAAACGCCTCTTTGTATGGTTCGGCTCAACATTCAGCAGCTCCGCGAAACGTTATATCTTCATTCCCCCTTCGTCCGAAACCTCCACGTCTCGACAGTTTTTGTCCCCCATTCCCCCCCCTCAAAATTCGCCTTCATTGTGTCGTGATCGTGTTTTGACAGTTACATGGGGGACATGCCGTGGCTGTCGGTGCCCTTCGACGGGAAGACTCGCGGCACCATCGCGCAGCTCTTGGGGGTGTCGGCCCTCCCCACCCTGCTCGTGTTCGACGAAGAGCAGCAGCTCATCACCGCCAACGGGAGGCAGGAAATCATCAAGGACACCAAGGCTGAGAACTTCCCGTGGTACCCGAAGGTGATTGTGGTGGTGGTAAGGTTGGTGTGTTGGCGCTTGTGCTGGTGTTGGTGGTCGGGGGGCGTTGTTGTCCTCATACATGTCATAATATTTGGTGTTGACTCCCGGTCGTTAACGTACCTGTGTGCGTGCTGTTGCTGTCGCGATTGTGTACCCCGAGCCGGAGGCTGACCTGCCCCCAGGATAAACACTTCGTCTTTCCCTCTTCTCGAGACGTGCATCCGATTACTCCTTCTGCCTCCCTTGTTCGAAGCATACACCTGGCATTCCACTGCGGTGTGAATCCCTCTCTCTTCTGCCTTCGCACATCTGATTCTTGTCCACCTCCTTTGTGTACCGGTTGGTGAACCTCCGTTCCTGACGGTTACGTCGGATAGCAAACTAGTCAGTACAGTAGGTTTGGCGTGGTTCGAGAGCGATGTGCTTTCATTTTAGCCTTGGGTCGAGTTTTGAGCGAAGGCGGAGGGCCACACACGGGTGCGACAAGTCGAAACTCGTACCCTTTGACTGGCTGAAATGGAAGCTCACTCGTGTGTGCTCAACGCCTCTCCTACCTTTGGCTTCCACGCAAGCGTTGCCGCGGTTTAACTTTCCCCATGGGGTCGTCTCATCTCTGCTCGCTTCCGAGAGTAATATATTGCTCAGAAGACCTGGGTGCACACAAAGAGTGCGATGTTGAGTGATAACTTTGCCCCCCTCTCCGTTCCTCGTCGGTTTGGTTGTGTTCAGGCGCTGGCTGAGCTTGTGGAGTCTCCCGAAGTCATCACCCAGAAGCCATCGTTCATCGTGTTCATGGAGGGGGGAGACAAGGATGAGCAGGTGTGGGTGAAGGGTGAAGATTACGGTAGGAATTTTGTCGGGTGGGGGAGCGCAGGCAAGGCCATGGTGACACGATGCTTTGTCGATGACGGGTTGCCAGTGTGGCTGCAAAGCAACAGAGATCGCCCTGCCGCGGCGGTGCTCTCCCTCTGGTGTTCCAATGGTCTTTCGGTGGATCCTGTCGAGTTCTAAGATCCAGCCGCGAATTCAGTTCAGCCCAGTGTCCCACATACCGCAGCACCTCTCAAGTAGCCTTCTCGCCTGTTCCTCTCTCGAAAGCGTTCAGTGGGTGAGGCGAAACGAATCGCGTGCAATCACATCCGATCCGTTCACGCACGACTACGCGAGTTCGAACCTATCGGTCCCTCTCTCTCTCTCTCGCGAAACCTTCCATCCTTCCCCACTCAGTGGATGATATTGAAACGGCCGATAACGAATCGGCCCGCGTGAAACCTGTTGGTACATTTGCTGCTGCTGCTGCTGCTGCTGCTTGCCGCAGGCACGGATCCGTGAGCTCGTGGAGCCGATGGCGGAGGCGAGGGCGAAGATGGTAGAGGACGGCAAGGCGAGGCCCGCGGGATTCTTGACGGCCTCGGAGATCGAGCCGCTCTCCACGGCCTTCCGAAAGCTCGTGGGCCTCGACGAGATCCAGGGCAAGTACAAGTTCATGAAGAGCAAGAAGGCGCTGCTCAAGCCGCGCGTGGCGTTGTTGGACCTCATGCGAAACCAATTCGCTGTCAGCGGTGAGTGACTTTGCGCAGTGGCGTTGGCCGTGAGGTCTGGGAAGCTGGATGTAAGTTTTGCGGGGTGCTCCTGCTGCTGTGCCGGCCGCACGGGTGTTCGCCTGAAAAAATAGCGGCGTTGCTTACGGCGGCTGCTTGTAGTCATCGAATTCTGTTTTTGCTGATGAACGTTTGTTCGGCCCCGTCCTCTGACCTGTAGTAAACCGCTTGTTGGTTCATCGGAGATGGGCCCACGTCGAAGCGCCCTGCAAATCTTACCGTTCTCATCCGCTGCCCCCCCCCCCCCCCCCCCCCCCCCCCCCCCCCCCCCCCCCCC